AACATAGCTGCATCCAATTTTGTTAGAACTTACTTGCTATCCCACTATGCCAAGTCTTGCTTATACTCCAAATCTATTTCCCATTTTCTTTATTTACAAAACCCAAAGCTTTTAGAAAAGGGCATAAGTTTCTACAACAAAAATGGAAGTATATATTTAACTTAATTATTATTTATATTGATAGAAATATTATTTATCTTTATTATATATTATATATTACATTTCGAAAAACTTAAATCCAAACTGAATTACCTTTAAGTATCAATGGTAATTTACTCCTGTTTTAAAATGTCATCATCTGAATCCCATTCAAAAGACTAATATTGCTAAAGAGTAACTGGTTGCCCTTTGGAAGTCATTCATTCAGAAAGCAATTAAATGACTACTATGCAAGTTCATATAGAGCTATAAGAAACAGTAAAAGAGAGATAGAACTTTACAGTAACCTAGGTTACCCTAAGTGGGCTGACTAAGCCAGTGTGATGGCAACACATGAGAGTTTCACCCAGCTGCAGCTACAAAAAGCTGGGGTTAGTGCTGGGGAAGATTCTGGGCAGGGTCATGAACAATGAGGAAACAGAAGCCAGGAAGTTGTAGTTGCAATAGGACACATTGAAGACAAAATTTTTTGAAGGAAAATGTGGCTGTGGAGCTAAGTCAAACTTGGAGAGTTTTCTACATCAGATTAAAAACTTCATATTTGAACTGTGTCTCTCACAATGATTCAATTAAAAAGTTGAAATATTGAAGGGGAAAAAAAAAAACCCACCAAATTTCACACTTGAGCCTGTGAGCTATCAGAGACACTGACACAACCCATGCTCAATTTTGTGTTTGGGGGGAGATGAGCCCAAGATAAAAATCAGAAGAGCGAGAAAACAGGAGCTGGAGGGATATACAGAGCCAGATCAGCAACCTTCTTTCATAAAGAACCACAAACTAAACATTAAGTAGGGAGCTAAGTAGGGTTTTTTGTTTGTTTTGTTTTGTTTGCTGGAGTGCAAAAGCAGATGGGTAAACAACGAAGCCTGGTTGTGTGCCAGTCAAACCTCATAAAATGGGCCACAGGTTTGGCTCTCAGGTGATGGAGTGCCAACATCTAGAAAAGCATTCTCCAAACAAACTCTTTGAAATAACAAAATGACCGACAGAAGTACTAGCCAGGCCTGTAGCCACTAGTCACAGTGGGGAGGCAGCTGGGCAGCAGAACACTTGCCTTGCAAGTGTGAGGCCCTGGTTAATTCCTGACACCACCCGAAACAAAAAAACAAAATCAGTTTTTCTACAGTCACTAGCCTCTTGATGCTCTTAATTTAAATAGAGAAAAGCATACTTCTGCAGGGGAAAAAAGTCTGGCCAGATTCGTCTAAAGCTCTTTTAAAGCAATCTGGTGTTTAATTTAATGTAAATAGTCACGTGAAGCCCATGTTCCAGTGGGCAGCCCCATGTCTGAGGTTGGGATAGCGATGTAAGCAAGACAAAATGCCCTGAGATGCCCTAGAAATGGAGGGCACAGCATAAAATATTTAAGTGGTGACAGAGCAGGACCTAGGGAACACTAAGTTGATTCCAATGGTTACCCTGCTGAGCCAGGATAACTGAAAGAATTGGGGGGGTCCTGAACACGAACATCTAATTGGACAGAGAAAGCACTTGTGTTCTATTTCAGACATGCTGAATCTGAGGCATCACTTGGGAGGAGAAAATGCTTGGCAAGAAAGTAGGTAATACTCAATCTACTTTATAGAGAAAGTGACATTCGTCCAGGGTTCTTAATACCTCATCCAAGGTCACAGCAAGTGAGTGTCAAGGTTAAATGGCAACTTAAGTTTATATGGTTTTTTTTTTTTTTTTGCTTTTTGGGTCACACCCAGCAATGCATGGGGTTACTCCTGGCTCTGCGCTCAGGAATTACCCCGGCAGTGCTCAGGGGACCATATGGGATGCTGGGAATCAAACCCGGGTCGGCCGTGTACAAGGCAAACGCCCTACCCGCTGTGCTATTGCTCCAGCCCCAAGTTTATATGTTTTGAAACTTCATGCATCACACATTACACTAAGACGGGGTTAAACAGGCAAGCATGAAAGTAGATGAAATCTCTTAGGGAAAAGCAGAGAAAAGATCAGTAGCCCAGAAGAGAAACCTAGAAAATGCAGCAGTTATGGAGCTGTCTTGTATAAAGAGTAAACTAGGTGGTGAGAGAAATGCAAGAACTGGGTGAATCATGAAAGCAAAGGCACTGAGGAGTTAGCAGGAGACAGTGAGAGCATCCAGTCACAAACGGACACTGTGAAAGGCACCAGAGTGTCTTTACTTGCTTCTACAACTGAAAATGGTTTGAGCAAAATGATAAAAGACAAAGTCAAATGATTACATTAAAGATGAATAAAAAGTCAAAGAAATAGTAAAGGAGAGAATGAAAACATAAACTATGCACTCACAGTGTTTCCTGGATTTTAATATATTGAATATATACAATGATTAGCATTTATTACACTATTGTTAACACACAGCACTTGAGTGGCAGATACTATGTCATGTGCCTTATATATAATTTAATTGAATCTTTAACAAACCGAAGCCTCTTATCTCTATTTAAGTTTGATTCCCTTTAATTTAATTTCATTTTGGGACTGGGGGCCACATCCAGCAGTGCACAGGCAGATTTTTGTCTCTACACCCAGGGGTCACTCATGGCAGGGCTCGGCGACGATATGTGGTACCAGGAATTGAATCGAGGTTGGTGACATGTAAAGCAATCAGCTTAACCCCTGTATTATCTCTCCAGTGTCTCCTTTTCAGAAAAAAGGAAAAAATGACTCTGCCCTCTGCCGGAATTCTACTATCCGTAAGCAAATCAAACATAATATGTCCCCTAAGTGCACCCACGGCTACTTCTCTGACATGGATCATTCTGGCACCCACCAGTGCACCCACCATGGCACCTACCATGACCTACTCTGGAAAACACTGAGTAGAGTAAGGAACTGGGAAAAGTTCCAGGGGAAAAAAAAAAAACAACAGACAAAGAGAGCACCCTGTCTCTATGAGATTCCTTTCCTAAATGACAATCTCCAGCTCTCCACAAGGAAAACAGACAAACCCATCCTGGGCAACATCCTACAAAACAACTGAACAGAATTCCTTACCCCTACCAAGGGTGTGAAACACATGTGATCACTAATAAATTGCTAGAGGGGAGGAGAGAGCTCAGCCTTGCAATGCAGGAGACCTGGCTTCGATCCCTGGCACCATGTGGTCCTCTGAGCACCACCAGGAGTGGCCCCTGGGCACAGAACCAGAGGTAACCCCCAAGAATTACTGAGCGTGACCCCCCAAATCACACATGTACACACAAAGAAACTGTTAAGAGGCCAGAAGAGACTTGGGAAATGTGACAACTATATGCACTAGCTCAGCCTGGACTGATTCCTACAATAAAAAAAAAAAAGTGAACAAAAAGAAAATGTGATGAAATCCAATGATGTTGAGAGTTGCTAATTAGTAAGGTACAGGCACCAAGGTTTTGTTTTTGACAAACTTGCCAGAGTAATGCAATAAGTTAACAAAAGGAAAAGGAAGGTGAAGGGTACTTGAAAGTTCCCTATACTCTCTTTCAAATTTTCTGTAAATCTGAATTTAAAAGATATGTTTCCTAAATGATTAACTAAGATGTCCAAAATCCCAATCAGGATCAGGAGAGACAGTCTGAAGGGCAAGAGCACATGCCTGGCATGCATGTGGACATAAGTTCTATCCCTGGCAAAGCACTCTGTGGCCCCCAGCTCCGTCAGACCTGATGACTGCTCTGCTTCAGGCCTAGGCACTGAACTGCCAGGTTCACATGACAGTGCTGAGTATCACGAGATGGTCTCTGGGTCCCCTGAGTGCCCTAAAAAAGAATTCTACTTCCTTCTCCCTGCCCTGATGAGGCCCCGGGTTACCGCCCACAAACTCCTCCGGCTCCTGAATGGCCATGATCCCAGAGACATACAAACCAATCTCGGATACCACCAGCTTTTGGCAGAAATGCAGCTGGACTGTGCATTAAACTACAGCACCATGCCACCCCGGGAGGGGAATGGTGTTTGTCCCTCTGCCTTTTCCCCCAGCGCCAGTGGCCTGGTGGCCACCATCTTTCAGAGCCTAAAGGACAGCCAGGTATGAGACTGCAATAATGAGACATTTGGGGCCTCATGGGATGGGGGGTGGAATTGACCCTGCTCCCCGCCCTAACAAGGCCCCGAGTTGCCACCCACGAATGCTTTCTCTGGCTCCTAAATGACCATAATCCCAGAGGCACACAAACCAATATCAGAAACCAGTGGTTTTTGGCAGTAAAGTCCCTCCAGACTTATTACTAGAACATCAGAAATCCAAAATCACGTGCCCATGATAGCGGCTGTGCGACATCATATGCTCTTCATAATCAGCATTAGAAAACTAATTAGCTAATGATGTCTTTCTAGCAGGTCTGATTGTTGGGGAAAATTCCAAATAACAATGGTGGGTCTTTTGTTGTAATATTGAATGCTATCAACGTAAAGAGAGAGTAAAGTGGAAATATATCACACAGGCAGGGGGCGGGGTGGGAGGGGAGTATATGGGGACTCTTGGTGGTGGAAAATGTGCACTAGTGAAGGGATGGGTGCTTGATTATTGTATGACAGACTGAGACTTAAACTGAAAGGCTTTGTGACTGTTCTCACGGTGATTCAATACATAAAAAATTTTTTAAAAAAAGAATTCTACTTAATCCAGCAAGTCAATGAACAAACTTCATCTTGTAGAGTACATAATGGGGAGTGAAAGGATGTTCCCAAGCCAGGTATGCCCGATACAGCACTGTTAGATCACAAAGGGAGTTGGGCTCAGAGCTTGTGGTGCTGCTTCTAGTCAGGGAGTTTGGGATAATTTTCTGTAACTTACAAACCTCAATAAAAAGAAATAAAAGCCAACAAACAGACACACAAAATAACTAATGGTAGAAATAACTTACCGCTGATTCACGAAAGGGCTGGAAAGTTCTGCAAGCAGGCGATAATTTCCAATGTATCTCAGCACTCCATTAGTCTGGACAATAGCATAAAACAAAATGTCAGTTCTTATCAAAATTCCCAAATATTGCAGAAATATTCAGTTCAATATCAGACCATCAATATCAGAACATACCAAATATACAAAAACTAATTTTCCTTTCATGTAAGAATTTTAAACCACCTTTTAATTCCATAGTAGTTTTAAAAATCAGGATGTAATACACTTAGATTCACTTACAAAATCAGATTTCAAACTACTGTTTCATGGTGAACTAATGAATTCAGCAAATGGCCACTAGTGATAGCTTTCTCAAATTACTGCAGGACTGGTGGAAGCAGTATGAATTTCAGAAGTGGCAGACTTTTTTTTTTCAGTGTAAAACAGTTTGAACTGTAAAATGCAGTTTTTTATGCATCACCATGAGGTACAATTAGAAACTTACAAACTTTTGAGCTTATGTTTCAGTCATACAGTACCATCCCTCCACCAGTGCCCATTCTCCAGCACCAATGTTCCCAGTATCCCTCCCACCACCCCCAACCCAACCCCTACCCCCATCTCTGTGGCAAGTGTATTAGTGGCAGACTTTTATGTAATCAAATGCCTAACTGGAAAACACTTTTATAACCATTAAAAGAAGCATCTTAAAAATCCAGGGGCCAGATAAATAACCCTTGAAAATCACCAAGTGTTACCCAAAAACTTACTAAATAATAAAGAATATTAAGAGAGACAAAAACTGATAGTACAGCAGATAGGGTGCTTGACTTGGACATGGTTGACCTGGGTTGGATCCCTTGCATCCCATATGGTCACAAGCACTGCTAGGAGTAACTCCTGAGTGCAGAGGCAGCAGTGCAATCCCTGAGCATTGCTGGGTGTGGCCCACAACTCCAAAATAAAAATTAAAAAAATAAAAATGCACAAGAAGGGGCCAGGATAATAGCTCAAAATTACCTGTTTTGCCAAACATAAAAGATGCCTGTGAAGATGCAGGCTGGGGTTGGGGCTACCAGTAAGGTAGGAATGGGAAGCTAGGAACACAGATGAAGCAAAGTTGACACTGGTGGCAGGATAAGTGATGGAACATTGTATGTCAAAAACCCAACTACAAATAATTTTCTAACTCACAGTACTTTGATAAAATAAAATTTGGGGGGAATATCTAGGGAACGGAGCGATAGTACAGCTGATGCAGCGCCTTGTGTGAGGCCCATCCAGGTTTAATCACTGGTCTAGGTTTGATCATATGATTCCCTGAGCCCCACAAAGAGTGATTCCTGAGCACAGAGCCAGGAATAATCTCTGAGCACCACCGGGTGCGGCAAAAAAAAAAAAAATCCAAAGTGTATTTACCATCCTAAATAATAATAGAGAAGTCTGTGAGCAGATGCATATTCATCAACTATATATGAACACATGCTGAATCTTGCCATCTACCTGAAAGATATATTTGTCTATAGCTAAAACACGTATTTTGGACTTTCTGAATCTAGAAACAAAATGCCTCCTACAATCCTACCATTATCAGAAAAAGTATGACAGCATTAGTAGGCTTAGAATTCTCAAATATGAATTCCAAGAACTTTATTCAATTTCCTTAAAAATTTATACTAGGTAAATGAAGATACTTCAGCTTATGATTTAATTTAACTTCATCAGTTTATGATTACCTGACAGAGGAGTAAATCCTAGCACCCTAAAACATTAGATTTACATAGAAACTCAGAAGCCCTTTTCCAAAGATTAATCCATATAGGATAACTTGGCTGCCTTCCAAATGGGAACAACACAAAACAGTTACTAAGCACAGAGTTGGGAATAGCCCCTGAGCACTGTCAGGTGTGGCCCTAAACAAAACAAATTAAAAAAGAGTATTAGCATTCTGCTTTTTAAAAAAAAATGAAGGACATCCAGATTTCAATTTTGAGTAGATCTGAGTAGAACAAAATTACAGGTCATAAACTTCTGAGAAAAAAAAAAAGCATAAAGTCCAGTCTCCAAACCATGATACATTTAGGTTGAGTAAAGCAACATGGCGCCGTGTAATCCCATCAATGGCCAAGACTCAGAGACTATAAAACCCAGTTCCCGGAAGTGCGCGGCCGCGTGACATCTTATCATCTCATTCCTACTTTGGACAAACTGGCAGGCTACCAAATGTAACCTGCCCACACGGCAGAGTCTGGCAAACTCCCCGTGGCGTACCCAATATGCCAAATACCAGTAACAATGATGGGTCTCATTCTCCTAACTCTGAAAGAGCCTTGAATATGGCACTTTTTTAAAAAAGTCTCAGGTCTAGGACGAAGGAGACGTTACTGGGGCCTGCTCGAGGCAATCGACGAATAACAGGATGGTTGTGATTGTGATTGATTGTGAAAGCAACATAGGTAAAAGTAAAGGCTGAAAGAAGAGAAAGGAAACTTGACAGCTACATAACAGCTGCAGATAAAACACGTCAATAAGCAGCAAACGAAGGAGAATTTCATTATCTGCATGCTCTCACATTTACAACTAAATCTCTCTATTTCCAGATCTCTAGAAATAGTATAAATGCTTTTTAATAGAACTGCTTTGGGAGTGTAAGGCTGATACTTCTATCATCATCATCTCCAATATTTCATAAAACAATGGCATGTAGGCCGAAGAGAGAATTCACCAGGTAGTGCATGCTTTGCATGCTGGAGCCTGGGTTTGATCCCCAAGAACCTTGGAGTAAAACCAAGCACAGAGTTCCAGAGTGCTGGTGTTTGTGGCCCCATACCAACAACAGAATGAGAGAGTTAAAGTAATGGACAATAAATCTCTAAGCAAACTGCTATCATCACTATAGTCCAATGCTGATGGTAGAATTTCCATAAATATTTATTGGCTAACTGACCACTGGAAATCTTATAAAAAGTTATTTTGAGGACAATTCATCATAATTAAGCAATTAAGCAGAAGGAAACAGGATCGATAATGAATGATATAGGCCAGAGACACGCAAGGCAGGATTTCAACCCCCTCTCTCTTGGGCAATCCTGGCACACCTAACCTAAGCTTCATTTTCCCTTTCATAAAATGGGCACAAGAACATCACTTAGACAAAAACAGTGTAAATATGAGGGCAATCAGGAAGATCCTGGAAAAGAAAAGACACACTGAAAGATAAAAATCATTTTTGATCAAAATTAACCTAGATAATTTTGGAAGGTTTATTATGATTTTTGTTTGTTCACTTTGGGGTCACACAGGGTGATTCTCAGGGGCTACCTCCAAAGGTGTTTCAGGGGACATTCAGTGCCAGAGATGAAACTCTTGCACACAAGGCAAGCACTCAGAATGTTGAGCTACCTCCCTGGATCCGAGTAATTTTAGGTAATTAAAAAAATATTTTTAATTAGGCAATTTTTTTTTATTTACTGCTACTTTATTTTGTAAAAGTAGATTTACTGAATATAACAGGAAGAAGGGAGTTAGGTTGAGGTAAAAGATAATAAGTTGAACCTCATGTTTAGAAGATTCCTTCAGACAAACAAAATCACTGGAAAAGAGATCATCAAAGCTATAACAGGAAATTTTTTTAATCTTATTTTTAAAAAAGGATCAACTCTGCATAACAAACAACTGGGTGATTTTTCACTTTACTTATAACATAATTATAAATAAAATTAAATAAACCAAAAAACAAGTCCTCAAAGGACAGAGTCCTTCCTGCCTTGGAAGAAGACTGCTTCTAGGAAGTCTTGGTCTCACTGTCACCTGAATGGCCAATTATCTGAGACCAAGAACCACGCCCAAGCGACAGTGAGAAGACAGGAAAGGGCTACTCTGCTCTGCACCATACAAGATAAATCATGTCACCAAACCATTCTTCCTCATAGAATAGTTAATGCTATTTTCTAATTTGCTATAGAGAAAAAAATCCAACCCAGGTTTAAAAGGAAAAATTAAAACTTATAAGAAAAACTTTTACTTAAATAACTTATTCCAAATTTGCAACTCACTTTGCACAGCTAGCCTTCCCATCCAACTCAAACTTAACCCTGCTCATGGCAACTTGAAGCTTATTCCCATCACAGCACGGCAGGGGGGAAATGTCCTCTGGAGATTGCTTACTTCTGTTACCCATTGTTTTTCAGTTTCCATCTAACAAAGCCCCTGTGACCTGGCCCTCAGCTCAGTGAGAAGTGTAGCATCTCCTCCAACAGCCTACTCTTATTCGGAGACTGCTACTCAGAAGTGCCATAGGAGATCAAGGGAGATGGTTCAAAGGGCAGGGATACATGACTTGTGTGCAGGAACCCTGGTTTAGATCCACTGCATGGTCCCCTTAGCACTGTTGGGACAGTTTAGAGGTGCACTTCTCTTTCTTTGTGTCTGTACTATGGTAAAGTATCACTTAACAATGCTTTGGTCAATGACAGGCTATATGTATAAAATGTATAGCTCTAGTAGCTATAGCACATTGCTTAGGCGTAGCTAAGTGATACCATCTAGTTTTGTATAATTACACTCTATAGAGTTTACACATTGATGAAATCATCTTACAGTACATTTCTCAGAATCTGTCCTTATAAGTGACACAAAACTGTACAGATTTTTGCTCTGTGGTGACCACGAAGCTTACATACAGCTACATATACAGTAACAGCATATTCCAAGATGATGACAAAATTTCTCAGATTTTTCATTTGCCAGATTTTTTATCTTTTTTATCTAGTGCTCACCTTAACTAATTGATGTTCTCATATCTGTTTTATTGCCTTTGACTTTTAACCTTAATACTAGTTTTACAAATGATTCATTTATCCACTGTTTTGCTCTATGTTTAACTTTCCAATAAATCTGGTGTCATGTGCTAATAGTCAGCAACTTTCTTTTCAGTTTAAAGAAGCCTTACTAACATTTCTTGTTCAGGTTGATAAAGTGATGATAAATTTCTTTAGAAAAAACTCTTTCTATTCTGAATGATAAATTTACTGGGTACAATATTCTTGGGCTGGAGCGATAGCACAGCGGTAGAGCGTCTGCCTTGCATGCAGCTA